CACACAGCAAGTCCAGAGCAATGCCAGGACCAGATCTAGGCCCCCTCCCCAGCCAGGCCCCTCCCCAACCCCCGCTGCACCTGGTGCCCATCTGGCATCCCTGAGAGGGTGTTCAGAAGCCCTGGGTCCAGAGCAGGTGTGTGTGCCAGGGAGAGCTTACCTCGGATCACACGCTCCACAGTGAAGCTCATGGTGTAGCTGATGAGGGCCATGAGCACCCCGAGGGTCATCAGGAAGTACCAGTCCTCACCCACACGGAACAGCTTCTGCTTTAGCCATTCCAAGCCACCTGGTGCAGGGGCAAGGGGTCACAGCCCAGAGCCAGTGGGGCATGGACCTCGCCTTCCCTGGGGACCTGCTCTCCCTCCCAGCAGGGAGGGCAGGGGCGGTACGGGGCTGGGGCTGGGGCAGGTGGTCCAGCTCCAGGCGGTCCAGCCTGGAGGTGGCTTTGCCTTGTATGAGATGCAGAGCAGGATCTGTGGCTACGAAGGTGGCAGGCAGCAGAGGGGCCTTTGGCAGCTCTGCCCTCCCCACCCCTGCTCCACTCTGAGGTACATATGTAAGACCGACCAAGGGGCAGGGGTGTGGAGGGAGTGCTGGGAGCAGCAGGTCTCTCCGGTACCGCCATAGCTTGGAAAACACAAGGTCTAGCAAGACTCCTGCGTTGTCCCAGGACCTGCAGGGCTGCGGTCGAGCCAGAGAGCACCCTCTGTGCCCCTGGCAAGGCTCCTGGCACTGTGATCGGGCCTCGGAGCTGCATTCCCGAAAAGCAGAGAGTAGGCGTTTAGCAAGTCTGACCCGTAGACAGATGGACAAACAGAAGCCTTCCCTCTGGGCAGCGATGTCCGGAGCAGACAAAAGGGGGGGGCAGCTTTCAGGCTTTCAGGTGGGTGGGAAGGTGCAGCCTGCATAGGGGGTGATGTCCTGAGGGGTCTTCAACGGGGAAGGGAGGGGGACCTAGGTCTCACCTCGGATGCCTCGGCGGATGCGCGGACATGGGCCCCATAGCTCCCGAAGGGCCACAGGGTTGCCTGGGGAGCCCTCACGCAGCCCCACCAGCTCCTCCATCTGGTTCCCGATGCAGCGGACAGGCGGATGGGCCCTTGGTGAGTGGCTCCGACGCCGTTACACTGCCCCCAGGCCCTTCCGATATCGCTGCCTCCCAGATCAAAATGAAGGTGGCGTTTTCCTGTTGTGAGTACGTTCTCAGGAGGGGCATAAGTCTGGTGTGCCCTGGGGGGTCACCGAGGGGGTGTCTGTGTGCGTATAATGTGGGGGTAGGTTCCTAGCTGTGCCCTGCGTGTCCAGTAGCAGAGGGGTCAAGCCAGGTCCCCAGGCCTCAGAGCCCTCTTCTCCCTCAGGTGGCCACTGCCCCTCCCCTCCCTGGACACTGGTCTGCCTCCCCGCTCAGAGCCCTCTCCTTGCCCAGGGAAGCTCCTCGCTCACCAAGGGACCCCACAGATTGCTCCGACTCCCCAGGCCCATCCCCGAGCCCCCTCAGGGGAAGAGAGGTCGCAGAGGCAGGAAAACCCCAGGCCCGTAAGGAAGGCCCTGTGAGGATAGAAATGAGGTTCTGGCCCCTGCCCTCCACCCTCCTGCCCCTGCCCTGCTTGACCTGGCCCTGGCAAATTCCATCCAAGGCCACCCCCGGCTCTGCACCCAGAGGCCCCTCACCTGCGTCTGCCCGCCCTGCCTCGGCCGCAGATTGCGCTCCTCCGACAGAGTGTACCTGCAGCGCAGCTGCACCTGCACAGGTGCGTGTTCCACCAATCAACATCCTGCTCCCCTTCCTCCCCCCACCCCGCCCTGCCGGGGTTTACTGTGGCCATTAAGAATGTCCTTGACAAACCAACCAGAACTGCCCGGGCCGCTGAGCCGTGCCCCAGAGCAGCAAACAGGGGCCAGGAGCAGCAGCTCCCCGCAATCCACCAGAGCTATGAAGCCCTCTCTGCAGGCTCGGGGACCTGGGGCTTTGGTGGGGACCTCATCCACACTTCAGCAGGACAGCGAGGGGTCATCCGTGGGGCCTGAGGGTCAGGCCCTGGACTCTCAGAGCTGGGCACGGAAGGGGTTTGAAAAAGCAGAGAAAGGAGAGGGGAGGAAGCAGACAGAGCAGGGGAAGGGCTGGAGCAAAGGTGTGGGCACTGCCATTACTACCCCCTTGCTGGGTATCAGCGCTGCCCCCGCATTGGCGAGTGCTCATGGAACCCAACGAGAGGGCGACGTCATCCCAGTTTAAGGAAATGGAGTCTCAGAGATGCGAGGCTCCGGGCCCCAGGTGTCAGAGGCCCAGGGGAGAGGCAGAGCGGGGTCTTCCGCCCAGGATTCCTGACCCTGCAGCCTGCACAGCGCTTCCTGGCCCATCCAGGAGGCAGACCAGCCCGAGTGGGGCCAGGCCCTGGGGAGGAACTTCGACTTGACCCTGGGTCCAGCCCCCCAGTCTCAGGAAACTGCCTCTCAAACCACAGTGCTTCTGTGTAGATGCCCAGGCTCTGGGGCACCCCAAACAGGGGGCAGCAGCAGCGGAGGGTGGAGGAGGCTTGAAGCCACAGCTCTGCCATCCCCGGCCGGTCCTCCATTACTCGGAGTCTCGGTTTCCTCTTCTGTCCAATAAGGGGAGCCCGGGAGCTATGGGGACAGGGGCCTATCTCTGCTTCATTCCCACCAGCTCCTCCCCCCAACCAGCACCTGAGCCTGGAACAGTGTCTGGCACACAGTAGGTGTTCAATAAATACCTGCTGACTGGTTTCCGAACACTAGCTGTAGGCTGGCTGTGTGGGGAGCTGACCAAAACAGATCCCTGGTTCCTTCCCAGGACCCCAGGCTAGAATCTTGGGGTGCAGGGTATGACTCTGTGTTTGTTAAAAACTCCCTCAGGTGACTGGGATGCCCTGGCGCGTCTGGGATTCAAGGCATCGGATCGTCTCGGAAGCTTTTTCTATCCCTGTGATCTGAAGGGAGAGGCATGCTCAGAGACAGGAGACGGGCCTTGGTGACCTTTCAGGGTCCCTCCTGGTCACTGAAGCCAGTAGATGCAGTGCGTGTGTGGGCAACACCCAGGGACAGGGGAAGCGGGGGAGGAACGGTGGGCAGGGGTGGGGAACGAGATCTGACGCCCAGCAGCGGTGACTCAGGCCCTCAGCACCGTGACAGTGTGTCTGCTTTTAGCCACTGGCTCCTGTTCCCCCCACCCCTTCCCCCACCCTCTTCCCATCTCGCCCAGCGCTGGTAACTTCCTGGCAGCCCCCTCGGCCAGGACGGGTGACATGGGCCCCCGCAGGCATCCCCATTGGAGTAGCAGACCCCACTTTCTCCAGTCACTGCTTCGGCCCCACTTCGGGGACCACCAGCACCAGTAGCTCCCCCTATAGAGGGAGCCCCCAAGAATGAAGTTCTGTGGAGCCAGAGAAAAGAGAAAGGGTCTCCACCTTCAGGAGCTCCCAATTGACCCCCTGCCTGGGGGGAACTGCCTGATAGCTGAGCACAGCAAAGAAACCATGGACACAAGGAAGGCCAGGTCACCTGCCGGGGGCGGGGCGGGCAGAGTCAGGCGGTGCTGTGGGGAGGGGTCCCCTGTGTGGGTACAGCAATCAGAGAGGCCTCCATGGGCGAGGAAGGCAGGATTTGCGGAGGGGGTCAGAGGCCCCACACTGCAGCCTGGGCAGCAGGGAAGGGCCCACCCTCCTCCCAGAATGGCCTTTCCCCGGCTTCGCCCCGGCCCCACCTGAGGTCAGTCCTGGCTCTGCTGAGCATGGTTGAGCAGAGAGGGGCTGTCGGGGGCTGTCCGGGTCTTCTGGGCCAGCCCGTCTCCATGTACACACGCTCGGGTGGCCCAGCCTCCCGGAGGGAGGGCTTTGCATCAGATGTGCCTGGGTTCCAAGCCCAGCTGGGCCGCTTGCCCAGCGCAAGCCCACCACCCCTGGGACACTCTGTTTCCCTGTCTGTGAGGTGGGCATGAACCTCCTTCCAAAGAAGGCGAGGGTGCTGGGGAGCTCCTAGCCAGGGGCCCAGCAGCGTTCCAGAAATCGGAGCTAGAAAAATTGTCTTCCGGACTTCTCTACCTCTCCCTGAACTCTTGCTCGCCCACGCGCCCGCCCGCCATGGTCCCTGGTGGCTCCTCACAGCTGGAGTTCAGGCAGATGGTTCCCGGAAATATAACCTTCTAGATCTTTAAGGACAATTACTCCATTACCTGACTTTCGGCCCAACCCCCAGCCCTGCCTCAGGTTGCTAGCTTTCTCCTTGTGGGGCTCCCAAATGTTCCACAGTGTGTGGGGAGGGGTGGGGGGAGGACGGCATCTGGGTCCCAGGGGAGCTGGCAGGGGGACAGCAGCACACTCTGCCCCCTGCCCTGCTGTCTCAGTCTTTCCTCCCTAAGGGACGTTGTAAACATTAGCTGCCCGGAGGGAAGGAGCCCCTCACCTGGCAAAGGGGTCCAGCGGGGGGTCTTCCACCCTCCCCTGACCCGACCTGGATCCCATGCTGTCCCCAGAGCCAGGAGCGAGGGCCCCTCTGCCCTGATCTCCCACCACCCGGATCCCCTCTTATCAAGGGCTGGAACTTTGGGGCGGGGCGGGACGGGGCGGGGGGCGGATAGCAAGGGAACAGGAAATCGAAAAGCCTGACTGCAAGGAGCTTGCAGTCTGGCGGGGGAGGCGCAGCCCCCAGGAGCCCCAGGCTGATGGGAAAGACGGACACGCAAACCCCCCCTCCACACACCCACAAGCACAAGGTCCTAGGCACAGGGGCAGCTCTGGCCCCCTCCCTGCCGCGGTGCCGAGGCCCCGGGGCTGGAGTTATCGCCTGGAATGCCAGGCTATGAGCTCAGCCTCCCGGCCTGCATGTGTTGGACTGTCAGCAGGGCAGTCTCACTGGAGAAGATTTCCAGCCCCCTCTGGGCCACAGCAAGGCCTAAATTTAGCTGGTAGACAAGGGGCTGGCCCTGAGCCCGGGGACAGTCGGGCCTTATAAAGCGCCGGCAGTCCGGGCCCGGCACGCTCCCCCAGAGCCTGCCGCCCACAGCCTCTCCCACCCACCCCTGCCCGCCTGGCCAGGGCCCGGCTCCCACCCGTGGATGAGCCACAGGACCTCCTCCACCTTCAGAGCGGAGAGAAGCTTCCACTCCTCCTCTTCCTCTTCCTCGTCCTCCTCGGCCACCCGAGCCCTGCCCGCCCAGGACGCGCCCATGGACAAGGCCTTGAGCATGTTTTCTGAGGACTTTGGCAGCTTCATGCGGCCCCGCTCAGAGCCCCTGACCTTCCCAGGCAAGTGCTCAGTGCTCCGAGGGGACGGGAGACGCACGGGAAGGGGACACCTGCTCCAAGGCACCTTGGAAAGTGGCTGCAGCTGCCCAGCTGCCAGGAACAGGTGCTTCGTGACTGCAGCTGCATGTGGCCACCAGGACAGATGTGGCTGCAGAGACAGATGTGGTCATGAAAGCAGGCAGGCCTCCAAAGAAGAGCTGTGACTGGGGGCCAGCTGTGGTGCCAGCGGCCGGGTCCTTGCTGGATCTCTGGGGGGCGGCGGGGGGTTGAGGGGTGGGGTGGTGCAGATGGTGTCTCACACACTCACACCTCACCCCCCCCCACGCCTGGGGAGGCCCCCTCCCCACCCTGGGAAAAGTAGGCTGCAAGGGGGTGGAGAGGCGGGCAGGGAGGTTAGGAGCAGTAGCTGAAGGAGAAGTCAGAGGCCTGGGGCGGGGCTTCCCCTTTCCCCAGGAGAAGGAACCAGAAACCTGAGTTCTGGGTGCAAACCTGCCCTGTGCTCAGCTCACGGCAGCCCTCTCTACAGCCCGTTCTGGGGGGCCGGGCAACATCAAGACCCTTGGGGATGCCTATGAGTTTGCTGTGGATGTGAGCGACTTCTCCCCCGAAGACATCATCGTCACCACGTCCAACAACCACATCGAGGTTCGAGCTGAGAAGGTGAGCCTGCCCCCCACCCCTGACCCCAGGGTCTGCACCTGCACCCTCTGCCCAGTGTCCCCACCCCCATGTCCCATCCTGGGACTCCAGACCCTACCCTCTGTCCCCTCAAGCCCCCAGAACAAATTGGAGACCTGGATCCTGTCACTCGTGGGCTGTGGGATCCCCATCCCTGCCTTTCTCAGCCCCAAGATCCTTTTTTCGGGAATCAGGGCTGCTGAGAACACCACAGTGGGATGGGGGGGGGGGGATACAGGCAGGGCCACCTGAGCGCAGGTGAGAGGAAAGGAGAGGAGGGAGATGATGGTTGAGTGAGGGCAGCTCTTCTGACAGGCGTGGGGGGGAGGGGCTCACCTGGCAGCTGGGGGAAGGAGTCCCCAACATGACGCCCCTCAAGCCCTCTTCCTTCCAGGGTTCAGAGGCCCAGCCCCAATCCTGGGACCCTGGAACTAGAGTCCCTGAAGTTCAGGACCACACATTCCGAACCCCACTCTCCCTGTATCCATGGGTCTCGGGGTCACTAGCGTCTCTGAGTCCCGGCTCCCAGGAGGCCTGCGCCCCCGAGGAAGGTGTGGCCTGGACAGGGATGCTCGCCCCAGTGGGCCATGGCCACGGGCGCCCATTAAAGGCGAGGGTCTGCCCGAGGATTCCGCCAGGTCCCCTGTGGCCCGGAGCACCAGATGCTCAATGCCTGGGCTCCCCGTCAGGGATGCCAAGGACTGCGGGCACCAGGACCAGTGGGCAGCCTGTGCCAGCCCCGCCAGCCCCACCGGTGACTCAGCCACCCCAGGCTCCTCCGGACACTATGTGCTGACTGAGCCGTGGGGGAAGGGCCACCAACTCAGCTCTGACTGTGGACATCGAACGTGGCCGGGTGTCCAAAAGGGCTCGGCTCTGCCCTGGGCCACCTTCTCCATATTCAGGAGTCCCAGCTTCTGCACGGAGCCTCCTCTGTGTCTGAGCCTCCCCACTGGGAGCGCTGGGCCTCCTCTGGGTGCCTCTGCACCTGTCCCCGCACAGCCCTCGGCCTGTGGCCACCATCGCCCCATTCTGGCCAGCCCCTGGCCTGGCCTCCTCCACACCTGAGAGCAGAGCCCCTCAGCAGGTGGGGGCCCGGCCGGCTGAGACTGGGAAGAGGGAACGAGGGTGGGGGCAGCCTTCTCTGATGCGTCCCTCTCTGCCCCAGCTGGCGGCTGACGGCACGGTCATGAACACCTTCGCTCACAAGTGCCAGCTGCCGGAGGACATGGACCCCACCTCGGTGACCTCGGCCCTGCGGGAGGATGGCAGCCTCACCATCCGGGCACGGCGACACCCCCACACAGAGCACGTCCAGCAGACCTTCCGGACAGAGATAAAAATCTGAGGCCTCCGCCCTCCCCGGGCCTCCCAAAGCCCCACCTCTCCCCCACTGGCCCGCCAAAGTTTTCCTAACCCCCTCCCGACAGACAGCCCGCAGGACCTCTCTGCCCAGACTCCAGCCCTGACGCCCCCAAGACCCCAGGTGGGGAGCCCCAGCCCCACCCCCACACTCAGGCCTTCGGCTCTGCCCTTGCCTACCTGTGGCTCCAGATTCCAGATGTGGCCTCCTCACTTAATCCAGAGCAAAGGCATCGAGATGGGGAGAGGAAGATCCCAGAGAACCCTCTTGGGGAAGGGAGACGAGGCCAGGCGGGATCTCTGGGCAAATAATCTGCAGGACAGACTGACAAACGCTTTGATCCGTGGAGTCTCTGCAGGGCGGGGGTGGGGAAGAGAACCTGGGACCCTTTTGGCAAGGGGGCAGGAGAGACAGGAGGCAGATCTCCCGGCACAGGGGGGCAGAGGAGGCAGCATGGTGGAAACCTCTGTTCTCTAAGCTCCCAACCAGCGTCAGGCTGCCTGCCCACCTGGGGCCCCCACCAGCCAGCTGTGCCGGGCAGGGCTGCTGTACATAGATGGGTTTTTTCCAATACAGCTGGTTCGTAATAAACTGTGGGAAACTCCTGCCATCTATCACCGGCTCATGCCCCCAGGCAAGACCAGGCTGAGGGGTGGGGCTGGGCCTTCTCCCCGCACCCCCGCCACTTCCCTGCCCGGCCTGGGGTCCCGGGGCTGCTTCCCTGAAGATGGATCACCCAGCAGAGGTGGGAGGCAGAGCATGGATGGGGCTTGGGGTCTCAAGGTGGGACCAGTGTCTTGCCAACCTCCCCCCTGGTTTAATCTATGAATCTATAGGCTTGGTGCGTGTGTACCACACACGCATGCACACCCTGCTGACCTTCAAACACTAAGTGTTACCCTTAGTCAAGTCCAAATTCAGAACACTCCAAAACCAGGTTTCAGTCTCCACTTTTATCAGTGGGGAAATGGGTCTCTGACAGCTGATCGCCCCGTGCTCACTGAAAGTGAGGTATGAACCCTGGGAGGCAGAGGCTGCCCTCAAACTTCGCCCTTCCCCTCCGTGCACTGTGACGTCACTCTCTCTGCTTCTCTTGGTCCATGGCCCCTGTCCCCGCATCTTCCTGCTGGAGATTGCCCTCAGCCCAGTTCCCTCTGGGTCCCCAGGCCAGCACGGAATCTCCAGACGGCCTTCATTCTGGGGAGCCCCAGCCGCCCTCAGTGACCCCGGCTCAGTCTCCACACACAAAAACAGGGGTGAGATGGGTCAGTATTAGTCGGGGGTGGTGAGAGGGCCCCCGGGGCGAGCGGTAGAGCCAGCCCTCTGCTGTCTGGGCCTCGGGTCAGTGTTCTGCGGGGTGGCCTCTCACCCCTGCCACTCTGGGGTCCTTAGGGGATGTTTGGGTGAGGAGATGGGAGGGTCCTGGTATTGTACCGTGCACACATAATAAATGACAAAAATCACAGACTTCTGGAGGTTACCTGCCTGGAATTCTCAAACTTGGGATGAGGATAAACAGACATGCCTTCCTTGAGATTTGGGGGTGGGGTAGCTCAAGCATAACTCAAGACCTTACAGAAATACAGGTGTCTTTTGACTTCTTCCCTTGGCTCCCAGAACCACCTGGGCGGGACTTGGAATTATTTCTGCGAAGACTTGTAGTGCCCTTCTTTTCCAACTGCCAGCCAGCACCTGCCTGCCTCTCCGGCCAGACACTGTCTCAGGCACAGGGTGACCCATCAAAGGTGGGTCAGCTGCACTTACTGAGCTCCTGCCTTCCTGAAGCCTGTCTTGTACCAGATGGCCACTGAGGATCAGAGACGCTGTGTGATTGGCCTCGGGTCACACAGCCCCTGGGGCAGAGCCAGACTGGAACCTGGCTGGGGTGTTGGCTGGTTCAGGGAGCCCGGGTGCTCTCTGGAGGGACTCCCATGCACCCCATACCCCACCAGGCGCTACTGAAATCACAGTACCAGGCCAGCTCAAGCTACCGAGCTACCAGCAGGAGGAAGGGAGGGCGAGCGGGCACGGTATTTCCAGCCTCTGTGACTCACTGATTCCGCTGCGCTATTTGCAGCCCCAACACTCATCGGTCTGGGGTTTAGGGGAGGAGCCGGACCAGCTCCCCCCTTCCTTGACTCCCATCCATGGGGTCAGTCTCACCTTGGCCTTCAGGACCCAGCAAAGTCCCACCCTGGGCTGGGCCGCTGGCAGCCCAGGCTAGGGAAGGGGTCAGGCCCCCACATGGCCAATGGGGCCACATCCTTCCCACCCCAGCCCCCAGCAGACTGCTCCCCAGGTCAAGGTTTGGGGGATGAGGGTTGCACAGAGGACAGAGCGGCCGCTGGGGACTGGACACATCCAGACTGTGGGAGCCCTCCTGCCAAGGTGACCCTGTGGAAAAGGAGGGTGGGAGGGAAAGACCAGCAGGCTGTCTCTCAGTGGCTCCGCCCCCCAGGTGCCCCGGCTGGCGGCAATGCTTTGTCTCCAGGCCCCCCACCCTTTCCGTGCTAAATATAGACCTGGCTGGATGCCCACCACCCCGCCCCACACCCCATGAGGAGTAATTATAGCAGCCCCATTCATTGAGAGCCCAGAGCGAGCCAAACACACTGCTCACCCCCACAACGGTCCTGCAAGGTGGGTACCAAGGAGGACATGCAGGTTCATAGAAGTCAAGCGACAAGCCCAAGGTCACCCAGCTTGGAAGGGGCATGGTTGAGTCCTTGGCTGGGGCTCTAGAAAGCCCTCTGAAGGATCAGCCCCAATCAGTAGCCCCCACTGAAACCGGAAAAGCCAGTGTCCGGGCTGCCTCTCACCTACCAAGATGCAACAGGCAGAGACAGGGGTTGAACCTTGATGGGCGCTTTGATCAGATGGTCAGCAATCTGAGAAGACCTGGGTTTGTTTGTACCCTAACAGACCATCTCACATTCCATTTTAAACCTGACTCTTTTTATTAGGAGAAGGAAAGTGTAGGTAAGGGGATTGGAATTCAGGGGGAAAGTTAATCAGATAAAAGCTGCAGCATTCTTCTTCCTCTGGGCCCCGGGCGGTGGGCGTCTCCCCCTGGAGCACAGTGGCTCAGCTGCCGCCCTGATTGCTCTCAGTCCTCCTGGGGCCCAAAGAGGGAGCAGCTACAGTCTCCTGGAGTCAGGGCGGGTCGTGCCTTCCGTTCCTGGAACAATAGCTTTTACAAGCATTGATTACGAAGCTTATTGGCTATCGCCTGAAACCAAAATTTTTCCTGCATTTGAGTCCCCCATCAACACCACGAGGGGCCCTACCAAAGCAGCCCCACTGCACCCCACACACAGCCTGTGCAGGAAAGTGGACTCGTACTTCTTTTAATTTTTTAGAAGGTTTTATTTATTTATTTTTAGAGAGGGCAAGGGAGTGAGAAAGAGAGGGAGAGAAACATCAGTGTGTGGTTGCCTCTGGGGACCTGGCCCGCAACCCAGGCACGTGCCCTGACTGGGAAACCTGCCGCTCTTTGGTTCGAAGCCCGTGCTCATCCACTGAGCCACACCAGCCAGAGGTGGCCTTGTACTTCTTATAGCTCTTGGAGTGGGCTTGGGCAGGAGGCACGTTGAGAATATGGTTTCCTGCAGAGCTAGAGACCTGGGAGAAGGTCCAGGTTAGGCGGTGTCAGAGACCCTGAGGGGTGCGGAGGACCGAGGAGGCTCCCTCACTTTCAGAGACCTGGCCCAGGAGGAAAGACCCCTCCTCGAGAAAGCCCTCCAGAACTACCAGCAGAACCCCAGGCCATACCTTGTCGTCAACAGAAATTCAGACTCAGATGAAAAGAGCATATTGCTCGGGGCAGACCCTGGAGCCTCAGCCAGGTGCTTGGCCAGCCCTGGTCCCTTGGGGAGTCGGTTCAAACTCCTTATGGGAGACCAAGGCCCAGAGATGGGGAGGCCCTTGCCTAGGGTTACACGGCAAGTCAGTGGGAGAGACGGAACGAAGACCAGACCTCCAGAACCTCAGGCCAGGGCTTCTTTGCCAGAGAAGCACACCCTTGGCATACTCTTCCCTGGCCTAGGGGCTGAGCCCCACCACACTACACACATTGCAACCCCGGGTCCCCGCCCCATCCGCCCACCCCCTATCTGCCTTGGACCCTAGTTCTGCAATAGCAGAAGAATAAGCCTTAGTCTGCCCTCTTGCTCCCAAGCCTGGCATGGGAAAGGAGCTAAGTCAACGTTTGCAGGATTAAAAACAAGGACAACTAATGAGCTTCAGTACAGAGCGGAGGGTCCGCTGCAAACTCGGGAGCCACCCCACGTGGGTTTGACGGCTCTGCTGCTCCTGAACCGCACGATCTCGAGCGCATGCCGTCACCTTTCTGCGCCACAGCAAAATGGCGCTAAGAAGCTCTACCCACTAGAGCTGTTTCAGAATGCATGTAAAAGCCCTGGCGCTGGGCTGTGATGTCCGTAGCTCACGTGTGCCACGCACAAAATTGCCCAGGGCACCCCCAGCTTTACCCTCACTCTCCCTGGACCCAAGGCCAAGGCAGGGCTAGAGGAACAGAGAGCTGCCTTGGTACCTGGGGTCTTCTCTCCAGGAGACACAGGTGAGGGCAGGGCTGAAAGGTTCCCTGGGCCTCCCAGAAGAGCCTGTCTGGGCCCCAGGGGTGGAGGGGGGGGGGGGAGGACACGCCTCCGGCAGCCTGGTTCCCTCACCCGTAAACAAAGACCGGGGAGCACCCTCTCAAAGCAGCTGGGAGGAACCAGAGAGAGATGATGTTCTAATGTAAGCTCAGTAAGTGCTAAGCTTTTGTTAAAACTGCGGTTTTCTGAACAAGGAAAACCAAGGTACCACCCACACACAGGCTCTGCCCCCAAACAAGAGAGGGTCCCCGGGGGCTTAGTGACTGGAGTCGGCTGGATGGGCCACCAAGGCAGCAGTCCCTGGGCAGGGGAGCACCTGTTATTTACAGTCAGCACAGCTGGCCTGCTGCTCACTGCCAGCAGCCAGCCAGGCCAGAGCACCAGGGCCCGGACCCAGAGACAACCTTCCAGAGAAATCTGGGGCCTACTGCACTGGGTGGGGGCCCTCTGGGTGCCACCCCGCAGGGCACAAAGCAGGGCTGCTGGCCCTACATAAGTTTTTTTAAAAGACGGTATTCCTTGAGATAGTAGGCAATTTTTTTCTTTTTCTTTTTTATTGATTCCAGAGGAAAGGGAAGGAAGGGAGAAAGCGAGGGAGAGAAACATCAGTCGGTTGGCTTTCTCCTGTGCAAGCCTCAAACGGGGACCAGACCCACAAACAACCCAGGCATGTGCCCTGACCAAGAATCAAACCCACGGCCTTTTGGTTTTTGGGATGACATCCAACGCACTGAGCTGCACCATTCAGGGTGCCCCACATAATTCTTTTTTTAAGTAATTTTTATTGATTATGTTATTACAGTTGTCCCATTCCCCCCTCCATTCCCCTCCACCCTGCACACCCCCTCCCACCCACATTTTCCCCCTTTAGTTCATGTCCATGTGTCATAAGTTCTTTAGCTTCTATATTTCCCATACTATTCTTGCCCTCCCCATCTATTTTCTACCGACCATCTATGGTACTTACTCTCTGTACCTTTTCCCCTTCTCTCTCCTCCTCCCCCTCCCTGTTGCTAACCCTCCATGTGATCTCCATTTCTGTGGTTCTGTTCCTGTTCTAGTTGTTTCCTGAGTTTGTTTTTGTTTTAGATGTGGTTGTTAGTAATTGTGAGTTTGCTGTCATTTTAGTATACGTGTTTTTAATCTTCTTTTTCTTAGATAAGTCCCTTTAACATTTCATATAATAAGGGCTTGGTGATGATGAGCTCCTTGAATTTGATCTTATCTGAGAAGCACTTTATCTGCCCTTCCATTCTAAATGAAAGCCTTGCTGGATAGCACAATCTTGGATGTAGGTCCTTGCGTTTCATGACTTGGAATACTTCTTTCCAGCCCCTTCTTGCCTACAAGGTCTCTTTTGAGAAATCAGCTGACAGTCTGATGGGAACTCCTTTGTAGGTGACTGTCCCCTTATCTCTTGCTGCTTCTAAAATTCTTTTCTTCATTTTAATCTTGGCAAATATAATGATGATGTGCCTTGGAGTGTTCCTCCTTGGGTCCACCTTCTTTGGGACTCTCTGAGCTTCCTGGACTTCCTGGCAGTCTATTTCCTTTGCCAGATTGGGGAAATTCTCCTTTATTATTTGTTCAAATAAGTTTTCCACTCGTGGCTGTTCCTCTTCCCCTTCTGGTACCCCTATAATTTGGATGTTGGAGTGGTTAAAGATGTCCTGGAGGTTCCTAAGCCTCTCGTTTTTTTTTTTTTTTTTAATTCTTGTTTCTTCATTCTTTTCTGTTCGGTTGTTTCTTTCTTCCTTCTGGTCCACTCCTTTGATTTGAGTCCCAGTTTTTTTCTCATCACTGTTGGTTCCCTGTGCATTTTCCTTCATTTTGCTTAGCATAGCCTTCATTTTTAATCTAATTTGTGACCAAAGTCAACCAGTTCTGTGAGCATCCTGATCACCAGTGCTTTGAACTGTGCATCTGATAGATTGGCTATCTCTTGGTCGCTTAGTTATATTATTTCTGGAGCTTTGATCTCTTCTTCTGTTTGGGCCATTTTTTGTGTCTTGTCACGCCTGTTACGTAATGAGGGCCAGAGCCTTAGGTGTTGACCAGGGCGGGTCAACACAGTTGCTGGGTTGTGATGCTGTATGTGGGGGCAGGGTCCGAGAGGGAGCAATGGCACTTGCTCCGCTCTCTGTTGGACTTCAGTCCCTTCCGCCGCTTTCCCCAAGTGAACCGGGCCTTTCTGGTGCTGATTCCAGGGTGGGTGGGCTTGTGTGCATTCTAGGACCCTGTGGGTCTCTCCAACAAACTCTCCTGTTGGCTGGGAGTCTCTCCCTGTGCCTCAACCCCCACAGGTGTTTTCAATCAATGTTTTGAGGCTTTATTTCCCCAAGCTGGGACCCTGGGTTGCAAGGTCTGTCTCGCTCTCTGTTTTCACCTGGTTTGTCTGCATGCGAATATGGGACCGTGTAGTCAGCCAGCCTCCTTACCCGCAGTGCCTGGCTTCACAATCGCCACCTCACTGGGTCTGCTCGTTGCCACCCCACACCCGGGATCTGCCAGCCCCCGCCTGCGTGCCTGGGGTCTGCCCTCTGCCGTCTTACACGCCCAGGGTGCCTTGAGCATCCAGTTTCACCGCTTTTTGTGCCACGACCCCTCTCCCCTGGCTGCCCGACTCCACCCTGCCTACCAGTCTGAATGAATGTGTCTATTTTATCTCCTTGGTTTGCCGACTTCCATGTACTTCAATTTTCTGTCAGTTCTGGTTGTTATTTTGTTTCTAGATTGTTGTTGTCCTTATTTTGTTTGTGCGAGGAGGAGGCACAGCGTGTCTACTTACGCCTCCGTCTTGGCTGGAGGTCCCCCACACAATTCTTGAGCACCTACTACACTAGGCAGTTTAAGGCACTGGGGACTGCTAACGTAAAACTAAAAAGGCCTTTCCACATGACAGGCAACAGGCATTTATTTGAAACATACAAGAATAGCTCTTCAGGAAGCATCGATTCAGGCAGAAACCCAAGTAACATTCTGATTAAGAAACAAAGTCAAAAAAAAAAGGAAAAGAAAAGAAACAAAGACAAGGGCTGTTTTTGAGAAAGGGAAGAAGAGCGATCACATCAACAGGAGGAAGGCATTTCTGTAGGTGCAGGTAACCTAGCGATGCGGATTCTAAAGAACGGTTGTAATTTTCAGTCTGGGAGTAATAATCTCTGCTTTCTTGTTGTTTGCAAACAGTTCTTGGGGCCATAAGGCTCCTCTGGACCCGGCCCAAAGCTTATTTTGCTCCATTTTAACATCCAAAGGTTTGAGGCATAAGACGTGCAAAGTAGTTTCTCTGCCGGGGCAGCACCAACTCCATTTTATTTAAAAATTTTTAATTTAATTTATTTATTTTTAGAAAGAGAGGAAGGGAGACAGAAAGAGAGGGAGAGAAACATCAGTGGTGTGAGAGATACATCAATCGGTTGCCTCTCGCACACCCCAAACTGGGGACCTGGCCTGCAACTCAGGCACATGCCCTGACTGGGAATCGAACCAGCAACCTTTTGGTTCACAGGCCGGCACTCAGTCGGCTGAGCCACTCCAGCCATAGCCCGACTCCATTTTAAAATGACCTATTTTATTTTATTTTACTTTAGACAGGACACAGTCCTGAATGAAGCGTAACTGCCAGCCTGGGGACACACTCACCTCATCACACCTTCCTTCACCGGTTCAATAAAATCTGTCATTTACAGATTGATTCGTTCCCTCAACCGGTTTTCAGTAAGTCCAATCAGCATGGTCCGGTTGTCATAGCTCTGAGGTCAAACTACTCCTAGTTTCACTCTGGCTCTGCTACTTACTAGCTCTGTGACCTTGGGCCAGTTGCTTAACCTACCAGAGGCTCAGTTTCCTCATCTGTAAAATGGGATAACGCCTCCCAGGATTTCGGAGAAGAGACGGAGCTATTCCCCTCCACCTGTGTGCCCCATCTCATTGAGGGCCCCACTCACCCGTTCAGTCCCTAGACACTCCCTACACATGGTCCGGCCCTAGGTTGGGTCCTTGGAAAGCCTTCATTCTTCCTTCATTCACTCACTCGGCAAATGTGAAGGGAGTGCCTGCAGCCGGTGCGGGGTTACGACTCTGTGACTACAGGTGTAGTGGCCTGGGGTTTGGATTTGGGCTCTGCCTTTCTCTGGATGCGGACCTTGGGCAAATCACTTCATCTCTCTGTGCCTCAGTTTTCTCATCTGCAAAGTGGCAATAAAAATCATACCCACCTCTCAGATCTGGAGTGAAAGGAATTGAATGCACATAAGAAAAACACCAATAGTCCTTATTCTGGATGAAAGGGGTGTTGGTTAGAATGAAAGTTCGAATGCTGAAAACATGGACCCCACTGAGCTGCTGGCCCCAGGCTCTGGCTGCATGCCCAGCAGGTTCCCACCTTTCCCATTCAGGGGGAGACCAGGGTGCCCTCCAGGTTGGTGATAGGGCGACACCTGCTGATGAACAGCTAGATGTGCAGCTACAGGCCTCACCCTTTTCCATGAGGGTCTCAAACTCCCTACATCCTCTGTCTTTGGGCCTTTCTAGCCCAGTGATTCTTAATGAGGAGAGAAGAGAGGAAGAGACCTAGGTCGTCCAGGTTATTCTGTCACCGCCTCTCTAGTTCAAACCACCCCCCTGCCTTGCTTGAATTAAGGTGCAGCCTCCTAAGCTTCTGATCTCAGTACAAGAGCTAGAAGAAAAAATTTAAAGGTACATCTGGTCACGCCACTCTCAGCTCACAATTTCTGATGGTCCCCATCTCAGAATCAAATCTAAAGACTTCATCGTGGTCTGCAAGGCCTCACACAGTGTGGTCCCTGCCACTTCTCTGGCCTCTCTGCTTGTTGCCTGTGCGTGCTTTGCTAGAGAATAAGCACCTTCGTTGTCGGGCCCCAGTCCAGCATCTAGCCCACAGCCTGGCACACAGTGGGTGCCAAATAAATACTTGGTGAATAAATGAATGAATACAATAGCCAGCCTGAGTGACTCTGGTCCTTTTTTCTGGAACACTCCCCACCCCTGCCTCCTTGCCTTTGTATGGTTCACTCACTCTTCAGATCTAAGCTTAGGTGTCACTTCCTACAGGAAGCCCTCCCTGATTTCCTCTCCCAGAGGGGGCTGGGCAGCCTCCTCCAGCCCCAACAGCATTCTGTGTGCCCTTATTCTTGTACCAATCAGTAGTTACCTTTCTTGCCTTCCCTACAAGGCTGTGAGCTCCTTGAGGACAGGGCTACAACTGTTCTTTCTGAATCCTGTCTGCCTAAAAGTGACCTGACTAGGATGGGAGGCCATTGGCCCTAGGGTTAGGAGCAAGAACGTGAGCACCAGGCTTGCCCAGGTCCTAATCCCAACTGTACCAGTCCATAGGGACTTGAGTGGGTCCCTCAACCTCTATGTCCCTCCGTTCCCTAATCCGTGAAATGGGCACAAAACCAGTGCATCCCCATATTGGCATGGGAAGGATGTTATTTCCCTGGCACAGAGCAATTGGTCGATACATCCTCGAAACACTTCCTCAGATGGGTTCACAGAGTTTCGCACAGTGCCAGGCATCCCTTACACCTCCACACACCCTCACACACGCCAGTGAGCACACTTCATGCTGGGGAACACGACTGCCCTAGGGAGCAGGACCCCCCTTTTTCTGCATTTCTAAGGTGCAGCACAAGCCTGGCATGAAACAGATGCTCAGTGTGTACTGGCTCTTATGTTATTCGTTCAAATATGATACTCCACTCTCTTTGGCAGACTTTCACCCCCTCCTGAGAGGCTGGTTCCCTTTATTTACTCTCAGACTGCCAGGTCCTTCCTAGGTTCTTGAATTTCCCCATTCTGTGTCTCATGCCTTCCGTGACCTACACACTTGTATGTGAACCAAGATGACAGTGGACAGTGTACTGCTGCTGCCTGTCCTGCTGGGGCGTCCTGACCCCACCTGGTCTGCTCCGCCCCATGGCCCTGGGTGAGGGCGGTTCACAGAGCTTGGCTCCTTCTTACCTTTCAGATCATACTTTATCTATTTTTTAAAAGATTATTTATTTATTTTTTATTTTTAGAGAGGGGGAAGGGAGGGAGAAAGATGGAGAGAAACATCAATGTGTGGCTGCCTCTCGCACACCCCCTACTGGGGACCTGGCCTGCAACCCAGGCATGTGCCTTGACTGGGAATTGAACTGGTGACCCTTTGTGTCCCACAGGCCAGTGCTCAATCCACTGAGCCACACCAGCCAGGGAAGATCATACTTTAATTGCTACCCACTCAGAGAGGCCTTTCCCATCCACCACGACAGAAAAGCTCTTTGCCCCGGTCCCTTTCCACCCCGGCACCATGTCTCAGTTTCTGCACAGAGCTCATTTTGTGTCAAAATTGTCTTTATTTATTTGCTTGTTTAAACTTCCTCCCACCTCTCCCCCAACCCCAGGGATATAAGCTCCAAGAAAGGGGTGGTGTTTTTCCCTGGCACTTTGCAGATCCTGGCAGAGAGGCCATGGGCCCTGGGAAGGGCAGCCCCTGGGCACGTGAGCCTGAGGTGCCAACCCCCTCGCCCCCAGTCAGGCTCTTCCAGTTACTCTGCCTTCCCACAGACACAGGAGGAGAAAGCTTTGAGTGTGTTCATGACCATTTCCCAAGCTGAAGACCTTGTGGGCACCATCTTTGAGGGGCTCCCCTTGTCTTCAGGAGGCTCCTGGGGCCTCAGTGGGCTGACTGAGGAGAAAGCTGAGGCCACAGCCCCTCTGCAGGGTGGCGGGGTGCCCCTGGCCTGGGCGAGGTGCTCCCCACCCAAGGGAGCCTCCTGAATCAGATGGGACTGGCCAGACCCACAGAACAAGATGTAAGTCTTCATTGGAGGGGTGACAAGTCCTTGGTTGGGACTGAGGGCGTGGGGCGGTGCCGGGGGAGCTGCCAGCGAGAGCGGTTTCCCACGGACACAGTCGATAACAAAAGTTAGGTGAGCTGCAGGGACGGCCTTTAGAAGGTGGGCTGACTTCCCCCCTGGAAGGAAGGAGAAGACGGAAGGTTTGTGTTAGCACAACAGTCAACATGGTTCTGTTATTAATTCACACATTGATACATTCCACGAGGTTTTACCCGTGTGTAGGTGGACACACATAGGTGGAAACCGTGGGGGCAAAGAGCGTGGACTTCAGCATCAGAGAGACCTGGCTTTAAATCCTGCTTCCCTCTGATTGGCCTCTGCCCCCCAGGAGCCCCAAGACCCCTGGCTCAGAGCTCCTCCTCCTTGCTGTGCACATGGAGGGCCCAGTGTCTTGTCACCATGCAGGGGTCAGGAGCACTTCCAACAAGCTCCAGAGAGACGCTGTGAGCAGCGAGGTCCTCAAACAAGAGGAAAGCCCCAGCCCCATTCAACAGATTAGAAGACTGAGGCTGGGCTTCAGCAGATATGAGGGTCCTCAGGGAGCATCACGCTGCTCTCCCCTCCCCACATGACACCAGAGAACACCATCAGTTCCCAGTCATTTCTGCCCCGGGGGTCCCTGCTCTGTCCTCTCCACCCAGCTCAGAGCCTAGTCCAGAGAGAAGAGCTGATCAGTCCGTTCATCAATGAAGCAAGTGCCGGAGCGGGTCTCTCTGACTCTAAAGTTGGTGGTGCTCTTAAAAAAGTAACTTTTTGAGTTCCCCGGATAGTAAGCACATCCATTCCCTTAGCTACATGCTCTTCACCACGACACAGGCTCGGGAGGAAGCTTATGTTCCGTTAGATTGTTTAAAACAAGAAATAAAATCAAAGTCCTCCCCTGGCCTGAGAATCCCGGCAGCCCCCAGGGAGGGTAGCTGCCCTAGGCCTCTCCCAGAAGGTCCTTCTTCAGGGCAGAGACGTCCTCGGCCATCTCTTACCTGAACTGGTGTCCAGATCTGTCTCAAGACCCACGATTCTGGGGCTGGCACTCTGGTCCCTGAGGTGTTCTGATGAGGCCATGGCTGCTGCCACCGCACGTAGTTTAGTTTGGTGGAGTGTTGGCAGGAGGAGTGGTTTTTGGCAGCCTGCTCCAGAATGCAGTTCCCTGACCAAGGGCCAGACCTTTTGTATTTACAGGATCCGGATCCTGACCACTTTCCCCTGGGAGCCCCGGAACCGGCCTGGGGCAATTAGGGGGCGACTTTGATCTACAAGGTTATGTCAACATTGCTGTCGGGTCCTTGGGAAGCAGGCCCTTCTACCAGACACACCATTTCTCCCAACTTCAGCAGCTTCCTGACCTGGCACAGGTCTCGGAACCTTCTCCTCCAGGCCTCAGTTTCCCAACCCTCAGCCATGTTTGTGTCTGGCTGCACCACCGCTTTGTTTTGTTACATTGTTCCCCCTCCCTAAGACTTTCTGGAATACTACTTACGTAACGCATTCTTTGCCTGGGCCCCAAACAACAAACATTTATGTCTCATCATCTGGATGTTGGGAAGTCCCAGCTGAAAGTGTCTGCAGATTTGTTTTTTGGTGAAGACCTGCTTGCTGGTTCAGAGGTAGCTGTCTTTTTTTCTGGGATCAGGAACCTCTCGGGGGTGTCTTGTACAAGGATTCCCCCCTCACGACCTAATCACCTTCAAAGACCCCCCCGCCGACCTGCTAATACCATCACATTGAGCGTCAGGTTTTAAAATGTGAATTTGGGGAGGGCACAGTGTGTAGCATCCTTGAAGTCAAACCAACTGCTTTTACTGGAAAAGAAAAACATTTTAAGAAGAAAACAGATATTGCTTCATTAAATGGAAACAATATGACTACTGTGAGTAAGAAGTAACTATGTACGGCCCCCAAAGGTATCCAGGCCCTAATCCCCAGAAAGTGACTTTGCAGGGTGATCCAGGGTGTTCTGACTCTGCCACCAATTCCCAGGTGTGTTGTTTTGCTACTCAACCAAGTAATTAACTCAGTTCAGACACTACCTACCGGGAGATGATAGTACCTGGAGATCGCGTCGGACTCCACAGGTTAAGATAAGACTCTGAGCCCTGGCTGGTGTGGCTCAGTGGCTTTCACGCTGGCCTACTAACTGAAGGTTGCTGGTTTGATTCCCAGTCAAGGCACATGCCTGGGTTGCAGGCCAGGTCCTCCGTTGGAGGCAAGTGAGGGGCAACTGTGTGTCTCTCTCACACAATGATGGTTCTCTCCCAGTCTGTCTCCTTCCCTTTCCCTCTCTCTAAAAGTAAATAAACAAAATCTTTTTTTAAAAATTGAAAAGAAAAGATAAGAACTCTGTCCTACTGGACTGCTACCCCACCCCCCATGCAGATGCCAGTGGAAAGTCCCCGTTGTCACTAAACTTCTATAGACTGGAGGTTCCCACGACCCCGTCCTTGGGTTCAATTAATTTGCCAGAGCAGTTCACGGAACTCAGAGAAATCGTTTACTTATTAGATCACCAGTGTATTATGAAAGGTGACGAATGAGTGAAGAAAACAAGATGAAGTCAGTGTAGCCAGAGATGGAAAATGGAGGCTGTATCGTCAAGTTTGCAAAACTCCTTTAGACCACATGGGCCGAGCATGAGGAACAGATTTCATTTCACTTTAATGAGCCTGAGGACTTAAACTTTTGAACTTTTCAGCGGTGCATCAGTGCCTGGAAATATATAGGAGTCCTACAGATAGCCCTCTGGAGAAGCCAAGAAAGGGTGTTCTCCTGCCCATACCACCAGACATCCATGTCAGCATAAGAAATGCCCAAACCTGTAGAGAATTTTTATAAAAGTTGATCTGAGCCTAAAGGACCACACATAGTGGGGAGCGAGATCTCAAATGCTCCTGAGAATTACAGTTTTGCATCTTCATATATGCATTCGAAAGGGAATGTCAGGAAGGTTATGTGAAGGTTGGAGAGGTCAAGGTGGGGCTTGGATTATAGGATAGTTAACAAGATTATGGGCTCTCTTAAGGGCGTTTCAGGTTTATTTCAAAGGTGTGTTAACCTTGATGTACAGAAAACTTATGGCAGGATAAACCTTTTTTTACTAAAAAGTTATAGGCCTGGGGCATGACCATACACCAAAGCGAGCTGCCCAGGTGGGAAGTTAAGATCACCCTGTGAGGTTACTTTCTATAGATCTCTTTTTTTTTTTTTTTCCATCCATATCCATCATCCAGACCACAGGCATCTGGAAGGTCACCATCTCAGACCCATCCAGGGGCCGAGACTGCAGGGCTGATTCTTTTCAAGAGTATACTTTCTATTATATGAACTCTCAGTTTTTCCCTCTTCTTTGGAACACTTCGGGTATTGCCTAGTTGTGTTTCCTATTTGCAAATTCCTTGAATAAGTCTTTGTTACTTATTTCTAGCCAAAGCTTCCTGATTGTGTCTGACAAAGGACACATCTCAGAACCAGCCAGACGGACGAGATGCACAGGGCAAGGTATGCAGGAGGCGATGAGGAGCTCCCATACTCTCGGAGTGTGCCACTGTCCCCAAACCTCCACGTGGTCACCAGCCTGGATACTCTCAGAACGACCTTCTTTTGGTTTTTCACCAAGGCTTCATAACAGGGGCCTAGCTGATTAACTTACTGGCATTGCTGATTGACTTCAATCTCTAGCTCTTGATTTTGGCCCAGCGTGACCCTCCCATGTTGGACTTCTGACCAACTAATAATAAGTTCGTGTTGCTTTAAAACTCTAGATATGGTAATGTGTTGCCATAGCAATAGAAAATTGATACAGATCTATCTGTGTCACAGGTGTTAGTCACCTCTATGCAGACTGTATGCTTGGTTCCTGGGGGCATTTCTGGAGTCAGACGCCCTTACAGATCTGGATGGAGATTAATGAGGGGTGGTGAGTGGTCTCTGAGGGCAATCAGCACTTCCTTATAATAGAATTTTCTAAGATGAAGTCATTTACATGCTCTTCCGGGAAAGCAGGGTCAGCCTCAGTTGGTGGGAGGAGGGGTTGCTCTCCTTGCTCAGGCACTACTAGCGAGAGCGTTGTTAAAATTAAGGATCACGGAAAATACACGGGATCAGACGTGAAGCAAGGAGAAAGCCCACGGACTGTGAGAAAGCAGAGGCCAGTGGCCGGAAGGTGCTGAAAGTTGGAAAGAGGCCACGCGGGACTGTTCTAGTCTGCAGATTTTTTTTTTTTTTTTGCACCATCATTCACCCCCAGGCTAATCCTGTAAATGCTCTAAACAGGGACAGGGGTAATGGTTGGCTCACAAGACAGAAAAACGTAATCCGTAATCCGGGATCCGGGATCTGCAGTTTTGGAACCACAGCTAAATTCACACCTTTGCTCCACCACTTGTAAAACGCATGACAAGGGCCATTCATTTACCCTTTCCGAGCCTGTGTTTTTCCTTCTCCGAAAGGGGGAGGCTAATACTATTTTAAAGTTGGTGAGAAGATTTAGTAACACAGTGCCTGGCACACAACAAGCTCTGAACCCGTAAAGGCTGTTGCTGTCATAGCGGACATAGAAAACCGAGGAAAGAGTACAATGAAAACAGTCCTGCCCTGAAAACAGTTCTGCCCTGGCCACGGAGCGCCGGCCTGCGAACTGCGCGGCAGCAGGTTTGATTCCCCGTCAGGGCGCATGCCTGGAAAGCGGGCCAGGTCCCGGGAGTGTGTGGCAGGTAATCCGGTTCTTTCACACGTGTTTGTCTCCCTGTCTTTCTTCTTCCTTTTCCCTCTCTCTAGAAATACAAATTTAAAAAAAATTCTAATTGCAGAAGTTAACGTACAACTTCTGTAGCTAGGCGCATGCGCCTGTCCGCAATCCTCGCCAGGCGCGGGCGGTGCGCATGCGGCGGAAGTTACAGCCGGGAAACCGGCGAGGTCGGTTCCGCCCGACTCTGACATGGCGGCGCCCTTTGTCTGCTCTGAAGTGCCGTCCCCGGCCTCCTCGCGGCCGTGATGCACCTCTTTCAGCGGTGGGGTCCGGGACATGGCAGGTGAGGGTCCGCAAGCGCCCGGAGCCGGGGGAGTCCTGGGATACCGGCGGAGGCGGCGGAGGATGGGGCGCGGCGATATGCCGGGACGGTTGTGTGGGGGAGGGGAGGGAAATGGAATGGGAAGGGAACCCAGACTGAGGGCACCCCGCGGGGCAGGAGGATGAGGGGCAGCTGGGCGAGGTGCGCCGTTCGGGGGGGCGGGAGGGAAGTGGTTGGGAGAACCGGCAGTTCTGGCGAGGGAACGGCAAGGGAGCGCGAGTCGCCTCGCGGGCTGGGTGACACCCCAGCTGGTAGCATCTCCGCCCCCGTCGCCGGGCTGTCACCGCCCCTTGACCCCGTGCGCCTCGGCGGGTGGGCGTTCTGTGGCCGCGCCGCGAGGGGGCAGGGTGCTGGGGCAGCTCACATGCGCTGGAAGGGGCAGAGGGCACAGGCCTGCCAGGGCCTACGAGGTGCTGGCAGAGTAGGAGGCCGCCACCGCCCCGGTGTACAGTCCCATCCACCCATCCATTCATTCATTCCGCAGACGGTGAATCAGCACCCGATGGTTCAGACCATGGATCGGATGATCCAACAGTGACTAACACAGTGAAACGTTAGCCCTCGAGCCAGGCAGCTGGGCTTCCGCCTCTGGGCTTGCTCGCTCTGCCCTTAAGCACTTTAGGTTCTTCCTGTCAGAGATGAGAGTTAAGACTAAGGCAACAGGCTGTGGTCTGGTCCTCGGGGGACTTTTGAATCTAGTCCTGGAGTTTAAATTTTAGATTAACGGGAAGTCATTTAAGATTTGCAGTTTAGAAAGATCGCTCTGGCTAGGTGAAAAATGTAGTAAAGCGGGTGACCCTGGAGGCCAGTTGGGACTCTACAAGAATAGTTCACGTGAGAAATGAGGGTGGCCACAGCAGACCCAAAATGATGCAATTTAACGTTTATTGAGCTCTTACTATGTGCCAGGCTCTGTGCTTGGTGCTCTGCATTTGCCTGTGTTTGATGGATGAATGAAAAGGCAACTCTTAAGGAAGCAGGTACTTTTGAGTTCTCATCGTATTTTCCACTTGGGTGTCTTTGATTCAGGTAATGAGTGGGAGGAGGAGAGCCAAGCTGGAGTTTACCCAGACAAACTGTCAGAAAAGAG